GCGGGATTTGGAAACTATACTTCTAATAATGCAGCCTAAAATAGCATTAATAGAAGTATAGCGTAAATATAGTAGCAATAATAAATAAACGTCTGCAATAACTTACAGATTTTATTCGTTGTTGTTATTATATCTGAAAATTATATTGGTTACCGTTATGAACATAGTAACATTAAACGTTTCTACTAAATTTTTTACATCAAGAAAAACTTTTTTGGTACTAATATTTTGTTTGAAATATTTGCTTATTACATTTTGGTGTTCATTTTAAATTATCAGCTTAAGGTTCAGGGGGTTGAAATTGGTGGTCAAGGAGATGGGGGCATGAAGATTTCTTGAAAATCAAATGGTGCCAGAAAGTTTGAGAATTAGTGTGTTGGAGAAAGGGCAAGACAAAAAGTGTTCTTGTAACTAAAAAAAAGTATATATTTTTATTTACAACGGCTAGAAATGTAGTCTTTTCTTTTTCTTTTATTTATTTGTTTGTTTGTTTGTTTACTTATTTATTTACACCCTGCCTATCTGGTCAATACGACCACTCTAGATAAAAAGTTTAAAGGTTAGATAAAAATGTTACTTTCCCAGAACCCTTACAGATTTGCATTACAACATAACACTGAACACTGTAAGCAGAGCTTTTTGAATAATCTTTTAAACACCTATCAGTCATCATCATCTGTTCTAAAACTTTATTCAGCAGAGCTCCTGATTTTAATGAAATGTAGTGTTCTCTTTTATCCGGGAGATCAGACCAGAAGGCACAATTATTCCTTACAGTTAGTGATTTTTCTGCACTGAGCGGGATGATATGTCTTTTAGGCACCCTGTTTTAATAATTCCTCTTTCTCTTGCTCCCTTCAGGGTTTTGTGCTTGCTGTTACCATCATCCGGGAGGCTGTGGAAGAGATCCGATGCTACATGCGCGACAAGGAAGTGAACTCCCAGATCTACAGCAAACTCACAGCAAGAGGTCAGCTGTTTGGCTCCAGCTTTCTACATCTGTTTGCTATGTCCCTTAGCTGACTGCCAGAACAGCAGGAGATGGCAACTCAATCAATTGCAGCTGACAAGTGGAGCAGCAGAATTTCAGGAAAGAGAGGTTGGATGGGGTGATGGGTTGTGACCAAGCAGGGAGGAGACACGTGACTTAACATCCCTTTCTGTTGCTTAGAGTCCAAGCTGAATTTCCAATGAATAAGAATAACAATGACATATTGACTAAACATAGCAGAGATTTATTGGTGATTAGACACCTTTTCCACACAATTCAGTATCCAATGAGAAAGTTTGAATAACAGTGCCACACTGTATGGAGGGATCCAAGTGAGCAGGAAGACATATTGGCTGGAACTCAGTAGTGTAAATTAACATCATTAGACTTACATGGTGTAATGTTATGTTACTGGATTTCCAGCATTGTTTGGATTTATTGATAAGCTGTGGTTTAGCATTGTGAGTGTAGTGAGTCTTGGGCTAGCCACCCATCCCTTCTCCCCCTCTGGCACAGAAGCTTGTGTTCCCTTTTTAGATTAACCACATTTATATGTTACATCAAACCCTAACCTATGATGGCTTGTCTGAATAAGCCTTTTCTCTAAAAAATAGTCTGAAGCTGGACTCTTTCAACAAATCATGATTAAGATAATCACAGTTTGTCTGCCCTTGGATGGCACAAAGAGCAATGGTTAATTTAAAAGCAAACTAAAAAACACCTGTGCTGAAGGGAAACTAGAAACATAAAATAGGAGCTCTTCCAGAATGATTTGTGTAATACTGAGCTATGATTGAGTCCTGCTTCCCAATCAGCCCTGTGTTTATAGAAGAGATCCTGATTTGGGATGATAGCTACAGCCACCACCATATGTCCCTCCAGATGTTGTTCGACTATAACTCCTAGCCATGGTGAAGGATTGAAATTCAGCAACATCTGGAGGGACACATTTTCCCTATATCTTCTGTAAATGACATGCAGTCTGGATTAATTGAATAGCCTTCTCTCTGGATGTCTCAGCAACTATGGTGCATGTTACAAATGAGACATGTTGTGGCCTGTTCATTCAGATGAGACAGATTTAAGAAAACTTGTAATTCTTCCTTCCTTGGCCGACATTGTTTAGAAAAGCCTCCACCTAAGCAACAGGAGTTGGGCCAGATTCAAGTTTCTAATTTTTTCATCCTTAATTTGAACTTATTACTAAATTTGAAGACTGAATTTCTGCTTTAATATATTTTTAAGTGTGTTGAATTAAAATTCTTGATTTTAAAAAATTTCCTTGACTTCCTGCATCACCACAGTCTTCAAGATTAGTCATCCTAGTAAATGAGACCTACATTTTTTAAAAATTGCTATATAGTGCAGAAAGACCTCCTGCCAAAGGAGTGTTTTTTGATGGAGATCATTAGCATTTATCAGCTGTATCTTTGATGAAATATTTTTCCAAATAGTTTGTGCTGTTTTTCACAAGTCATGTAGCACAAGGTCATCTAAAAGCTAAAAACTCACAAATGCAATTTTTTTTTATTCTCAGGTACCTTTTGTTGCTTTTTAAAAACGTGTCGTTATGAGTTTCTGTTACAAATTAAATGCATCCTGGTTGCAGACATAAGGACTGCCACTGCCCATATCTTCACTAAATCCTTTTTTTTCCAAAAGAAGCATTTTCCCTTGCTAGCATTAGCTGCATTTTTAACATGTCACAAAGACAGAGAGAGTTTGTAAATAAACAGCTAATGATAATTGCATTATCAACATTGCATTGCTATCACTATTCAGGCCTCAAAAGTCCTTCGTTACTAGGATGAGGATTTCTCCTAGTTAAACCCTTTTTGATGATAGCTATAATTT